ATGGCAACGACATGCTCATCCTATGAAGAAGCCGTTGAGAATTTTCATCTTTGTAGAAACAACATCATATGTGACTGCGACACCGGAATAAGTCCCGCTAGATGCAACTGTCCGCAAGCTCCTATCGCTACAATGAGAGCAGATCCCGCCAACAAACTTCCTGTTTCTTCGCCCTTTGTGAAGTTAATCCACAGACAGGGAAGTATAGTAGCTCTATCCAAACGAGAGGAGTTAACTGTTTCTATAGAAGCAAAATTCATAAAGGACAGCGTCGAATATGTCACTTCGCAGAACTGCATCATCCTCCTCCATAACTTGACCGGGTGCTATAGCTGCCAGGAAGGGGCCACGCTTCGGACCTCTTGTTACACAGCTATTCCAACATATTGTACTGGAGTGCGACGACCATGTATTCTCAGTTGAATGCGATTCCACCAATAAGAGTTCGGTCATATCTCTCGACTTCCAGAGGGCTATAATCGAGCAGCAATGCAAGGCAGAATGCGCAGGTCATACAATCAGGTTGAACTACGGAGGAATCCTGGAATACCTACCCCATAACCATGTGGACAAGATTCTCAGTTCTCACGTTAGGAAATGGACCAACCCATCGGCTTTCTACAATGACTGGCAGCTCCCAGACCTGAGTCCGTTGCTTCTAACTATAAAGAAGCACTGGAAAGCAGCTGTCATACTAGCCGGCACAGTTGCATGCTTTTCGGCTGCCACCTACTTCTTGGGTCCTGTAGTGATTCTGACTACCGTCAAACTTGCCGGGCACTTTTGCAGCCTTGTTCTGAAGTTAGCGATTTTCATCGGCCTGATAGCTTGCAAAGTTGTATCCAAAATTTTTGCTTTGATATCTTCAAAAATCGAGCCCCAGTAGACGTCCACGATGAGATATGCACTAGCTCTAGCTAGAACTCGTAGCTTCACATCTAGTTATCTAATCTGGCTCTTTCGCAGTCTAATACAGTATTCAAGTACAAGATTGGAACGACAAACACATATAGATATCACTCTCTGATAACCCTCCTGCCAGCTATAAAGCCACGCTGAGCATAGCACTGACTCATTCTTCTCTGCCATGGATGAAGTGGACGTTGCGGTGCACATTGAACCTCTCACCGAGGCCGTTAGAGACCTGAAAGACCAACTAAACGCCTTCGCGGCTGGCCTCACTTCTAAGATCGACGCCCTCGCCGACATGCATACTCGCCAAATCGACGCCCTCAACCGAAAAGTTGAACTCCTGTTGGAGAGGACGCAGCCGAGGTCTAACTGCCTATTTTGCCCGATAGCGGATAACAAAGACTGCCACCCAACAGGCAGATGTTGCCGTTACCCCGACGCCGTCTCACGAGCAGTTCAAGCAAATAACCTTGGCCTCTGCAATCGCTGTCTACAGCCTCGCCATGGCGAGGACTGTGGAATTCTCTGTACCTACTGCGGGCGAGAACATAATGTCCTGCTGTGCCCAAATAAACTGTCGCAATCAACGGCTTCGCTGAAAAGAAGGAAGTTCTAAACGTCCTTCGCCGCCCCGGAGAATGCACTGGTGTGTTTGCAACCACCAGCGCATTTTCCGCATTCCTATCGTCATCGTCGACTAGCATTCTGTTCGCCCCTCCTTCCACCAACTCATCAATACTACTGTATTCTTCATCGACCGTGCGCTCGACTGGTATTCCTATTCGCACGCCACGTCTGTGCTACGGTACTCATCACTGCTGTCGTCTGAGTTGCTCGCCTACATTCCAACGATCGTCGTATTCTTCTGAAACTGATTCTCCGTCGTCTTCTTGCGGCGCAGGCCCAGCTCCAATTCGAACGGACAGTGGAAAGGTTTCTTTCGACGGCAATGGTTGAGCTCACGAGAGACGGTGGTCAGTTCTCCGCTTTGACGTACATCACATTTGGCTGGTAGTTACTTCAATTGGAGTGTAGTGATTCATCTAGCTGTGTGGCTCTTTTCAATGCTCTGTTAATTCATTATCTCAGTACTAACTTTCCACCTTTTATCATGCTTCGCACTTAGTCATTTGCCTTGTGGTACGGCCGATTTCATGATATCTCATTGGTTGGGTGACTGTAGTTCATTTACTTCATCATAGTTCATGTAGTTCATTGTTGCCCCTCGCCGGAGTGTCGTGGTATACCACGACTTTCATCCATTTTGCATTGTAGATCGCATTCCATTTGTATGTCTCACATATGTTCGATTAACATTTCCCGACATTCGTTTGTAATGTTTCTGTTCGCAAGAAGCCTATATAAGAGTGTCGGTGTAACAATATATTCGATTGGGAAATAAAGGATACCACCGAACGATCACGTCAAGGTTTTCGTAAAAGTGAACTGGTTTTGGCGCAACGCATGAACTCCAGTGGCTACAGGACCATCCCCAATACAATTCGGTACCGTATCTACAACGATTTCCCACCCTTAAAGGAATCTTGCGCGGAAAATTCTTGCTTTCTTTCCTAACATGAATATGTCAGTTGTGATCACTGGAAATAGAACACAAAGTTTCACAGCTAAAGATTCAGGTTCTGAAGAACAAACGTACAAAACCGACACGTTATGGCACCATCGAGAGACCGAGGAGCGCAGCCAGCCAGGCCGCAGGGATGGAACAAGACGGTGGTCTTGCGGCCTACCGTACCAGGCGGCGCATGAGAGATCGGCATTTAAAGGCGCGGCGATCGAGAGAGTGGCAGAGCAACTCGATCGCATGGAATAGGAGAGAGTAGCGAAGTGTGAAGATGTCGAACTTGCAGCGAAAGACAGCAAGGGCCAGAAAGAGCCTTCTAGTGAATGCACTCCAAGAACCAAGTTTGAGAACTCGCCGCGTCGCAAGCATTCGTGAAGACGGCGTGGGGCAATTTGAACGCGCGTCAGCAGCCTTGCGCGTTTCGAAATTTCTAATCTTCTAATCCATAACGGACACTACTTCAGTTCTTTTCACTATTATCGTGGATAATGAGTCCGTAAAGCCAGCGGGGATTAGGGCGAATTAAATTCATGATTTTTGCCGGCGCAGGAGTTCCTTTAAGTCAAGATCTCCAGCATGGAAGGCGCCGCCGTTTCAGTAAGTGTGCGTCAAGAATTTGGAAGGGTTCAGAGTCCGGCTTTAGAGGACGCTCCACTTATGTGCAGATTCCTCTATCTCCAGTGGTTTCGCCTTCTCTCTCTGTCCGCCGCCACGGATTCCAAACTTTTTTAATTTGATTTGGTTGTGTGGCGGCGTGCCGAGCTTGTGCCAACAGATTAGGCGCGGACAGTAAGTGCTTTATATCTGGTGTCAGATGCTAATTTACTATTGTGCTCAACAACTCTGTGTTGCGACTTCCAATCAAGGCTCAATTTTTTCTGCTGAATAAAAGAAACACAACAATTCGTGATTTCACGACGAAATACGATTGATGTGTAGTCAGACCTTTGTATTCATTCATTCTTTATTATCTTTATTAAATAAAACAGTGGAGCACTTGAACTGAATTAATACGAAGGCAGTACTTGATGTAAGGCAGGCTGATCACAATGCGCGAACATTCATAAAACAAATGTGAGTGATATATCGTTAACTAGACGGAACAATTTTGTGCAACCTAGAAGTTATATAGTATGATGCTTTGAGTTCACAATGAGTATATCGGTAAGTGTACGCTGACTGTGGCCACTATTATTAGTCGCCTCTGATCACGTCTGCATGGCGAATAATGCGGACGGATCGAAATAGAAGCTATTCAAAATATTGTTGAAAGATTGAGGACAATGCAAGCGAAGAATCAGGTACGACCGTCTGTTGACTTGATGCACACTTGACACCGTGAAACACGTGTGCGTAAACTTCCGGACTTGAGCGTTTGGCTCTCAGGAATCTGCAAAAAATTGCAATCAATACAGTTGTGACATAAACAAAATCTCTCAATTCATGGTTTTGTGCCCAATGATGAAACCGACCTTGAATTCTTGATCATTATCGATTGTCGCAAGCCAGAAAGAGAATTTATTGGCAAAGTAATGACATGTGCCTCGCGCACCATTGCACTCAATGAATGGTGTTGCTCGGAAATCTTCCAAACAAGAGCCAGGAGAGCTGAAAATACATACACATAGGGTCGGTTATACAGCTGTTAGAGCAGCTTTTTGTTTTCATCTGAGCTCAAATAATATTTTTAACGGTGGCAAAATGAAACGAGGCCGAGAACTCTTCACAGTCAGGGAATCGATGTTCTTGTCTCACAAAGGCTAGGTTTACGATGAAAAAACAGCTCACTAGAAATTAAGGTTGTGCTGGTCAGTGGTACAGGGATAAAGAAATAACCAAGAAAAACGGCCTAGAAGTCATAGGGGGAACTCTTTTCGCCCACTGATTTGCACGTTAGCGTGCCTCATCGGTGCTGACCTCACCAACGTTAAAGGCAGCGACTGCGATAAAGAGGAAGCGCATGAAGCAGTTACTTGGCTGCCAAGGAGACGAGATGTGGCACTCACAGCGAAAGGTGCGCTGATTGCTGAGCTGGGTTTCGAAAGCGCTCTGCCCCCAAAAGCGATCCGCCCTCCAGTTTAGTTGGTGATTTGGACGAGCTGCGTTGTTAGCAGCGGCACAACTAGAGCAACCCGATTCAAAACGTGGTTTGGTATGGTGCTACCAAACTCCTTGCGGTTAACTCGCTCATACGTCCAACTTCTGAGCTGTTACTTGTTCATGAGTGGAAGCCAACGGCCAGAAAAGAGGGTCCCGTTTCGCGCTTCCTTAACGGACTTCTCTGCTTTTTCCGCCACTGGCGTACCACTGAGCACCACTTCGTCTCTTTAAACATTCTTACAAATTGTTGATATCCCTGCCTTCAACCTTTCTCTGCTAAAGGACTAGATTTAGACGCAAGGGGTGGGTGGCCAGCGACGCGGATCGCGACGGTCTACATGACTCAGCCAAGGACAATCATATCCTATCACCTTTATGAGACTCGTTATTAGAGAAACTGGAATATAAGTCAATTGCATGTGGCAAACCTGAGTGATTGTCCTCCTCCTTCGGCTCCCGCCCCTGTGTGCCTTGCAAACGAGTATCCGATCCATAGACTATTCCAGCCGGCAGGACAATTAGGAATTTGGATTGTTTGAGAATGAACAGAAATGACATTCGCAGGCGCTTCACAGACAGAGCATCTTGAAAAAGCTTATTAAGCGCACTCCAATCACATTCTTTCTTTGAAATGAACAAACCGTGAGATATAACGCTCGATTTCTCCTTCACTAACGGGCATCATCGGAATTGGTGCGGTGGTTGAAAGCCAGTATGACTTGTCGTTTCGTGACGCATAATTACATACATTGTTGAAATCGCAGAACAAGAAAGGCATTGTAGAAAAGCGTTGCAGACACGAACCAGCATGACCTGAGCAAATTACCATCACCACTCCTGTAGTTTGTGGCTTATTATACCAATAGGAAACATTTATTATGCAATTTTAAAGGCAGTGACCACTATGGCTGGAGGGTGGAGCGGTTCAATGACGTCATTGTGGACCAGACCCTCGACGCACTGAAGTCTGTGGCTCTGACCAGGGTCAATCGTCCGTTGGACACCGTCCAACGAGGGGGTGGGAGGTCGTATTTGGGGGGTGAAAAAGGGGGTAGCGTATTTCGCGAGGTAGCGTCAATGTTACAGTAAGGGAAGGGAGGTTTTTTTATGGAAGGGATAGGGGATTCTCGTAGGCAGAGCCTGTTGGTTGAGTGCGAAAATTTTGCCGTTACATTCGATATATAACCCACCTCTCAACAGCAATTTCGGGGGAAAAGTGGGCGGAGTTGGGCTGTGTTGACTGATCCCAGAATCAATTACTATAGAATCGCCCGCGGCAGGCGAGGGTGGTGGAGGGTGGTCGTGAGGAGTTGCCCTGGGGGGGGGTCGTATCGAGGCCCTCCAGAGGAGGAGGGGGGGTCGTAAAGTTTTCGAAATCGGTCCAACGTGACGGTTGTCCTTGGCTCTGACCACTCTCAACTCCCTACAAACAGTCAGGGCAATGACGTCATCAAATCAGCTCCACCATCCAGCCATCGCGTTCACTGCATGATATTTCCTGTTATTTTTGTATAATGTTGTTCGCACGGCACAATAGGTATTACGTTGAAAAGAAAAGTGCTGAGGAAAGCAGTTGTCACTTCTGTAGTTGCTTTCCGAGCCTATGGACACAGTTGCAAAGAGGTTAGCTAAGCTTACAAAATTCTTATATTATTACTTAGTGAAAACGTGTACGCATGGTCTCAAATTGCATGCTGCGCAGAGTTTATTTTCAATATTGATTACCGAGAATTGTTAAGGTATAGAAAACATCCACTCACCAAGGTCTTGGTTGTGTGACTTCTCATTTCCTTCGATGTATAAGAGCGAGTAACCGTCCCACAATTTGGTATGGCCTTCAGGACAGCGAGGAATTTCCGTGGTCTGAGAGTGCTTAACGAGGAGGAAGCCGTCTCTGTACGCAGGACCTGCTGGTCCGGGTGCGCCAGGATATCCGGGAGCGCCTGGTCCTCCAGGGGCTCCATCGAGGCCGGGGAGTCCAGGGAGTCCTGCAGCACCTTTCTCACCTGGCAAACCAGGCTGACCAGGGAAGCCGTCACTTCCACGCACTCCAGTAGTTCCGGGTGGTCCATCGGCTCCAGGTGGCCCGTCAAGACCGGGGAGGCCTTTCTCTCCTCGTATTCCTGGCACTCCAGGGAGCCCAGGTTCTCCTTTTTGTCCGGGAACACTGATACTGCTAGGTCCAGGTAGTCCAGGTGGTCCTTGTGGTCCGTCCAAACCCGGTCGTCCTTCGCTACCTGGTTGTCCAGGGAAGCCAGAATCACCTTTCATTCCAGGCAAGCCGGGCTGGCCAGGAAGGCCAGGCAGACCACTTTCTCCCTTCTGACCAGGGAATCCAGGAAGGCCAGCATCACCTGAAATTTGATGTTTCATGGCATATCACATTACATAATTTTACTTCTACAAAAACAACGGTTAAAATTCAATTGAGCAAAAGTGTAAGCAGAAAAGCCAAATCACCTTTCATGCCAGGTAATCCAGGAATTCCGGGTGGTCCTTGAGGGCCGAGTGCACCCATTTCTCCCTTGATACCAGGAAGACCTGGCAGACCATCTTTTCCTGGCGCTCCAGGATAACCATCAGCTCCACGTTTTCCTGGGATTCCAGGTTTTCCTGGCTCTCCTTTTTGACCAGGGAAGCCTGGAAGACCGCCTTCTCCTTTCAGTCCTGGTGCACCAGGGTATCCAGGTTGACCAGAATCGCCCTTGAGACCAGGCAAGCCAGGTAGGCCGTCCTTTCCAGGGAACCCTGGAGTTCCTGGAGGTCCTTGGGGTCCAGCGAATGCTTGCCCTTAAAAACAAGTTGTTATCGCATAAGATATTGCCGCTATCCTTGTGTTCGCACAAAAGCTTGAAAGAAAACGTAACTCACCAGGCGCTCCTGGTAAACCAGGTAATCCAGCAAGTCCCTTTTCTCCTGGGATTCCGTCTACTCCATTGCGTCCTGGTTGTCCAGGGAATCCAGCATCACCTTTCATTCCAGGAAGGCCAGGGAGTCCATCTTGACCAGGGCTTCCTGCGTTTCCTTTGAGACCTGGGAAACCTGGTGCGCCCGCATTACCCTTCAAACCAGGTGCTCCTTGAAGGCCAGGTTGGCCAGGATATCCGCTGTCTCCTTTGGGACCAGGTAGGCCGTCAAGTCCACGATCACCTGGAATTCCAGGCAAACCAGCTTGTCCTTTGTCACCTCGAATTCCGGGAACTCCAGCTGCTCCTGGTTGTCCCGGTGATCCTGGCTGTCCGGGCGCTCCAGGTGCGCCAAGTTCTCCTTTGATGCCCGGGAGACCAGGCAATCCGTCCTTGCCACTCGCTCCAGGTAGACCAGGATATCCCTTAAAACAAAATATTCGAAACGGTTCGACAATGAAAACAGTGTTAAGGGAAACAAGATCGTCACAAAATGGAAACAACTCGTAGAAAACGTACCGGTTCACCTTTGAGACCAGGGAATCCTGGTAAACCATCTTGTCCTGGTGGTCCTGGTGCTCCAGGTCGTCCCATTTTTCCAGGAACACCTGCCAGTCCTTTCTCACCATTGAGTCCTGGTTGACCATATCCTGGCAATCCCGAATCTCCTTTCATTCCTGGCAAGCCGGGAAGACCTGGTGGGCCTTGAGGTCCACGAAGTCCTGGTTGTCCAGCAAGTCCTTGATCTCCTTTTGGTCCATCACGCGCTGCAGGTCCAGGTTCTCCCTTTTCTCCAGGAATACCATTGAATCCACGGTCACCCTTCATACCGGGCGAACCAGGATATCCGTCTTTGCCAGGGGCTCCTGGCACACCAGCGTTACCTTTCATGCCAGGCAATCCAGGCACACCGGGAAGGCCAGCGTTACCCTTTGCTCCGTGTTGACCAGGTAAGCCAGGTAATCCAGCGTCTCCTAAAATTTAGTACTCTTTTTCAATTATTATTCACAGTAGAGACATTAATTCCGCAGATTTTCTAGATCACTGACCTTTGCTTCCTGGCACTCCAGGAATTCCATTCATTCCTTTTTGGCCGGGGTATCCAGGTGGTCCAGCTACTCCTGGCTGTCCTGGGGCTCCAGGTAGTCCCGCATCTCCTTTTTGTCCTTCAACACCAGGGAGTCCAGGAAGGCCATCTTCTCCTTTTTGGCCAGGCACACCAGGCAAGCCATCCATTCCAGGAACTCCTGGTAGACCTTCCTTTCCTGAAAACAAGAGTCTTTCCTATGCACTGATTGTCACGATAATTTGGCTTTCATAAAGGGCAAACAGACAAGCACGTATCGAAAAGGAAGGAGCAAAAGATGAATCATTTCGTGAGTTCTCAGCCCTTTCCTTTGATTCGTCACTAGAAGACCGATCAATACCCGTCCGTCTATTCTTCATCAAAAACAAGCTGTTGTGCAAACTATGCACATTTGAGGTGATGTTTTTTTCGTATATTCCTTACTTGCTTTTATATGCTGGCACAAAATCACATTCGCAATTATTTAAAGCACGAGTCAGGATTAGGCAACCAGCACAAGTTCTTACCAGGGTGCGATATTGGGCACCCCAAGACTGAGGACGCGCACTATCGTGACCCAAAAGTGCGCGGTAATAGCGCTAAGGCCCTGCCCGCCGCGCTGCCAGCGTAATCCACCACGGCATCTGTGGTCTCTGCGTCCTCGCGACGTACTATCTCGCGTTCTCCCTCTCCTCGCAGCGCTGTGTCTCTCCGTCGTACTACGGCCAGCCTCGTAAGGGAAATTTAATGTTTTCTATGGCGCATTTTTGCTTTTACTCTCCACTAATGTTCCTCATTGCACAGCTTGTCTAATGTTTGAACAAAATAACACATCAATGCAACCCTGGCTCGTGCCTTTGAGGCATATGATGTCCTTACGCGGGAGATGCAAAGGACTGCGAGCGCTCAAATTATTTGCAGTTCACGTCACAATTTTAAAATCAGCAAAGCTAAGATCTAGCGATGCACACGTGGCTCCACCCAGCAGACGGGCTGATCCCGAAATAGACGTCGGTCTGCTCTCACTCTGCTCTCCTCAATGTTCTCCCATTATCGGTGTCTGTTCTGTCATTTCGGCACCCTGCGTTTCTCTTCGCCTCATTCTCGTCCATCACCAAAATGAGTTATGAGAAGGTGCATTAAAGCCCTTTTTTACGCTTCCTTTACCCTCAACTTTCATATTTTATTTCAATACGAGTAACTAATCGATGGTGGAATGTGCCTTCAAAGCAGCAAAAAATACTGCTCTCCTCATACCCTGCTAGATGACATCGCTTCTTTTACAATTTTTCTGAGAGCAGGAATTCTCAGAATTATGGGATGATTCCAAAAATACAACACTGAGAACCCTTGCTTTCGTGGTGCGTTAGCATTATTTAAAAGCAAAGGTCCAGGTGGATCTGTTGTGCTATTTTGCTCAAGAATTAGACACGAAGTGCGATGAGGAACGTATGTGGAGAGAACAAAAAAGCACCATAGAAAACATTAAATATCCTTTGTGACGTCGGACATGGTAAGTAGAAGAGAAAGCGAGCTGGGAGGAGAGGGAAAGCGCGAGGTAGTACGTCGTACTGAAGAGAGCGCAAATGTAAAGTAGACCGTGATAGTAAGAATGGTAGCGCCAGCACCGCACAAGAGAAGACCTTAGCGCCTTTGCTGCACACTTCTGAGCCGGAACCGTGGCGAAGCCACTCAACAAGGAGACCTAAATCTCACTTCAGTTGAGACTGCTTTATGGCACCTAATCCTGAGCTGCGGTTGCATGTGAGACTTCAGGAAACGTCGGATCCTGCCGATATTTAGCGAAAAGGCTTATTCGCTGTTTCAGACAGGAGCCTCTACGATTTTTGGGCTCAAAAACTTGATCTCTTATTGTCGGAGGTGTTTGCAATTCAACGATTTTCGCTTATTGTTAGAAATGTATTTGGAAACTATGGACAACGGATGGAAACATACCTGGGATACCAGGAAGTCCAGGTTCTCCTTTTGCTCCAGGGTATCCGGGTCGACCAGCTTGTCCATTCAATCCTGCGTCTCCTTTCAGTCCAGGAGCGCCAGGCAGTCCTCGCTGTCCATCCAGTCCAGCAAGTCCTGGTGTTCCGGGTAGTCCAGCATCTCCTTTGAGTCCGGGGAAGCCTGGTGGTCCAGGTGGACCACTCACTGATGCTCCTTGTTCTCCTTTTTGTCCAGGCATTCCAGGCAAGCCAGGATGTCCTGGTTCTCCTTTAGGTCCGGGTACACCAGGAAGGCCATTAAGACCTGAAATGAAAAGTTTGGTTTATCATCGGTCAAATCGGGTTACGTATTGGACAAACTATATTTTTTGTTGTTGTTGTCTTTTTGTTCTGTGCCAAAATATATAATATTTAAATAAGGGATTACGGGTGCACAAGATCATTTTCAATTGCATTTAGGCTTCAGAAACTTTTCATATCCATGTTCGTGATGTATGGCTGAAATTCCCAACAGATAGAAAAGTCTACCTACGCATGAGAAACCACAGGACTATGACTGCAAAAAGCTTTGTGCTGAATAGCCAGTTCAAGGTAAAGTATGGTGATGAGGAACTTCTTCAAACACGGTACCCCCGACTCCTCCCCTTACTAAAAGTATTCGCTAGACCCCACCAATTCGCCCTTCTTGATAGTACCCAATTGAAAGACCTGGTGCCCAAACAATAAATCTACCGACGGTTGGTCGAGTAAATGGCGATGAATAGGTACCACAGGTAGAACCTAGTGTAAGGTTTAAGATTGCAGTAGCGAGCCGAGGTTGCGTTAGTGACCCTATCCCAGCGGTGCAATCACTAGTCATTCCTGCAGTCCTCTACATATGCTAACACAAGAGCTACGGCGGCGGCCGACGACATCTCAGCGATGAGTCGAGGAAATCCTAGACCCACGATCGGAACAATTATGGCAAAACAGGGAAAAAAAACGTTGTCGCTGTCACTTTCCACCAAGGTGCGCCACGCTCGACTATCACCAGTTGGGTTACGGTGGTCGTCAGTTGCTGATGGAACCTGCTACAAAAAAGCTACAAAAACACTATTGTTTGAAATACATCTTCCCCTCCACTCTCCCGCATAGGCCGCTTGTGACAAATAACATAAGAATGCTACCTTAGGTAATTCTACCGTATCTCTACTCGTGAGTCCACAGTTAGGGAGAATACCGGTAATTCACTGTTTTTTACCAGTGTGTGCATGTATTCCAGGTGACAAAATTGGATTATAGGTATCATCGATTGACAGCTTGCAAAATTTCTGTGCTAATTTATGCTTGAGTGTGAAATAAGTCAAGTCAATTGTAAAAATTACAGGTTTGTTTTTTAGTTATCAACCGCTACACCGCTACTAAAAAAACCAACCTGCGAAGCCTTTCTCTCCGGGAATTCCTGGTACTCCAGGTTGCCCTGGTGGTCCAGGTAGTCCGCTCTCTCCTTTCCGTCCGTTGACGCCTGGGAGTCCAGGGGATCCGACATCTCCAGGTCTACCGGGGAATCCCGCTTCACCTTTGAGACCTGGTAGCCCTGGCATACCAGGCTGTCCAGGAGCACCGTCCTTTATCAAAGAGGGAGGAGCAGAAAGTCCAGGTGGTCCTTGAATTCCAGGAAGACCAGAGGCACCGACGGGTCCAGGTTCTCCTTTTTGTCCAGGAATGCCAGGTTGACCGGGCATACCATATCCAGGCTCTCCCTTGAGTCCAGGCAATCCAGGTAATCCATCCTTTCCAGGCTTTCCAGGAGTACCAGGCAGTCCTGGTTCGCCCTGAAAGAAGAATTATCAGGTAGCTAGGTCGAAGCAAAATAAGAATAAGTACACTATTCGATTATTCTAACCTTTTCTCCAGGAAGTCCAGGTTGGCCAGGAGCGCCAACAAGTCCTGGGGATCCTGGTAATCCATCTTGTCCAGGTTGTCCTGGGTATCCTGATTCTCCCTTACTTCCAGGGTAGCCAGGCGGTCCAGGTCTGAGAACAAGCTGAGTTGGCTCTCCCTTCTGTCCAGGTAGTCCGGGAAGACCGTCAAGTCCTGGAGGCCCAGGAGCGCCGGGCCTTCCTGGTGGCCCTGGTATTCCGTCATCTCCTGGGTCGCCGTTTGGACCAGGCATACCGGGAAGTCCACGATCTCCTTGAGGGCCTGGTTGCCCAGGATATCCAGAATTTCCTTTTTCTCCTTTCATTCCAGGTGCACAGATGGAGCATGTGCCACCTCGATCTCCCTTTGGACCAGTAACACCAGGTAGACCAGGAATTCCATCGCGTCCATCATATCCTTTAGGTCCGACGGGTCCTCGAGCGCCAGGTGGTCCTGGCAGTCCATGCAGCGAATCTCCGGGTGGTCCTGAAATGAGTATATTATCAGTCATCACAAATGCATAGGTTAATATGTTTGAGAAGATTTCCTTTGCAAGCATTGACAAACATCTGAAGAAAGCTTCTTAAAAACATCTAGGTTCAAAGTTTATAAAATTAGGCGTTACCTAGATGTCAGATAATTTATTTCCGTAATCAATACTGTGTGGAGAATAATTTGGTTCATGCGCGAATGTTAAAGTATTTCTTCTTCAAATTAATAGAAATTCGTCAGGTCAACGTACAAACCTCGGACTCCGGGAAGACCTTGTTCTCCTTTTCGACCAGGTGCTCCATCAATGCCTGGTCGGCCATCCTTTCCGGGTAATCCTGGAATGCTTTGCCCAGGGATTCCACGTGCGCCAGGCTCTCCTTTAGGCCCGGGAGGACCGAACTGTCCCGGAGGGCCAGTGACACCAGGCGCACCGGGAATACCACTGTCTCCTTTGTCTCCTTTCGGGCCAGGAAGGCCTTCAAGACCAGGTAATCCGGGAGCTCCAGGCCCACCAGGTTGTCCAGGTGGCCCAGCAGGTCCGGGTTGACCAGGGAAGCCGTCGGTACCAGGTGGTCCAGGGTTTCCAGGGCGACCCGGTAGACCGGGTGGTCCTGGAGGTCCATCAGTGAATGAGCCTCCCTGAAACAAAAACATTGCTCGAAAAGGAAAGAGGGTGCTAATTCGACAGTGGGCGTATTTCAAAACATACACCAGGAGGACCAGGCGGTCCGGTGTTTCCTTTTGGTCCATCTCTTCCTGAATATCCAGCTTCACCCTTCTGTCCAGGCATACCAGGGAATCCTGGCACTCCATCAAGACCGCGATCTCCTTTGAAACCTGGAGGACCCGGGTTTCCTGGTCGTCCTTCTTTTCCCTGAACAGGTTGGTTGAATTAGATGTGGTGGAATTTTGACTATGATTAATGTGAGAATGAGAGGAATACTGTACCCTTGGTCCGGCTGGTCCAGACAATCCTTTCTCTCCTTTCATTCCAGGTGATCCGGGTTGACCGGGTACACCGGCATTGCCGGGATAACCACGAGGGCCTGCCTCACCAGGCTCTCCCTAAATCACCCTATGATTAAAAACTTTTCAAACAAAGGAAATCATGCTAACTAAGGCTGTCCACACTAACTAAGGCTGCCACACTATCATTGAAACACTTGTCATATTTACAATACAGCTCAAATGTTCGAACGACGCATACTGTAGAGTGAATGAATGAAATTATGGTTCAAGGTATTAACAAGGAATCTTGGGAAGGAGTAGGAGATAGTGCAAAATATGATATACAGGTAAGAGAAGCAAAAGCGATGCATGCAATCCAGCAAAGCAACCGGAGAGCGAACACGGTTAGCTTATAATTAGTTTAGGCTGTTTCTTGCCTTCTCTCCTTTTTCTCCTATATCTCCCTTAGGACCGACTATTGTTCCCTTCGCCATAGTGGACGCGATGGGACCGGGAGGTCCACGTGGACCTTGTGCACCCACGTCACCCTAAACAATTGCATATAAATACCTTGAATCCTTTCTCTCCGACGTTTCCTCGTGGACCTACAATCGAACCACTGCCCGTGAACTCGCGTGGCCCTGGAGGGCCAGGCGGTCCCTGATGTCCTATATCACCCTAGAAACAGAATACCGCTTTCAATCATCGAAGTTAAATAAGATTAAGCGAGCAATACGTTGACACATTCAAATGATCCAAGAAAAATCCACTTCTTGAAATTTGTCCTGAATTGATTTGAAAAGTGCCTGAGAAGCTCCGTTCAAGTCTGCTACACTCCAAAATCAATTGTATTCCGAAAAGAAGAACCGGTACTCTTCCTATTTCAGAAAACCGATTTTGAAATTTCGAAATCAAAATTGTTTCAATCATTTTGAAAACATTTCAACTTTCTCGTAGCATAACCTCGAGAGCTTCGAAAAATTGACGGCTTTCGTAGGCTCATGTGAAAATCTTCTGAATGAAGTTCCTGACGCAGAATCTGTTAACTCCCATTGTACTTTGTATGACTATGAGATACGTCAAGAGAATATTGATGAATATACGAGGTCGGGATAAATCTTACGGGGTCTCCTTTGGGTCCGATGCTGCCGATACCTGGATTACCAGGAATTCCAGCTTCTCCAGGTGGGCCACGTGGTCCCTGTAAACAAGAGATGTAAATAAAATAAGTTTTCTGCTAGTAAAATGAAATAAGAACACATACAACTGGCCCAACGTCTCCTCGATCTCCTTTCTCTCCAGGATAACCGTCTCTGCCGGGCGGTCCGGGTAATCCCGGCATACCAGGCATACCTCCATCTCCCTTAATTGCTGTTATTTTCTAGGTTGAAACTCTAATGTTTAAAAAAAGCAAACCTTTTCTCCTGGGGCACCGTCATATCCGATTGCAGGTTCTCCTTTCAAACCGTCCATTCCAGGAGGGCCAGGAAATCCGGGCATACCAGGTGGTCCTGGTCGTCCAGGGATTCCAGGGGCGCCATCCGTTCCATTACATCCATCCCAGCCGGGTGCACCAGGTGGACCTGGCTCTCCCGGTCGCCCATTGGCTCCGTCATTGCCAGGGAATCCAGGTACACCAATCGGTCCTCGATCTCCTTTCGGACCGCCTGGTCCAGGTGGCCCTTGTGCACCTTTTTGTCCTTTAGGTCCCGCTAGACCTTCAGGTCCTGGAAAACCTCGAATCCCTTGTGCTCCAGGGGGCCCTTGCGGTCCAGGTGCACCCTGAAAATAATAACTGTACAATAGGAAAGACCATTACGCCATTATACAAGAGAACTAGGCATAAATAAACAATAACCAGTAATATCGGGTCGCTCTTATTTACCCTTTTTTTAGAAATCTGATCGATAATTCTGAATATTCTGTTTCACTCCTGTTGAGTTGAACCACAGTTCATTTCTAAGAGCCGCACGTTTTCATTCATAGGAGGGCTCACGACTAGCGAAAACGTTTTTGTCATTTTCGTCACATGTTACTCGTCTGGTAATGTAGTACTGCTGCGTGTGTGTGGCGATACGAAGCGTGTATTGCTTGGTGAAAGAAGGGGAGGGGAGCGAGAGATGTTATCTGTCTTCGTGTTCCACTCTGGATCTTCCTCAGAATGCCGTCGGCCAGCAGCCGCTCGGCTTTCTCTGACGATGTAACACAGATCGCTTATTGATTCATTAAACCCAAACCGACTAGACAACATCGGAATTAGTCAGCGGGAGATGAGCTTGATAAATGCCACAGATCAGCGCTCATATCAGATCAGCCTTTCTTGGCTTAAACTACGCCCATTCCCAAAGAACGCAGCCTTCCTAATACCGTTACCGTACTCCGGCGTTTGTGGAAGTATGAAGCTTAGTCAGCGGCATTACAGTGGATGCACATTCTTTCCAGAATTTTTTTTTTCAATAAACTGAAGAGACTAAGTCTTTAAGTGCCGTATCAGGAGGAGGATATATGTTATACTGTAACATTACGTACCATTGAACCCTTCTCTCCTACGCAGAAGCATCCTCGGTTGGAGCAATCTCGACAAGTCGTTTGCTGAAAGCACAGCAGTCAACAAAGATATAGAGCATGGAATTGATAGGAGCAAAATAAAGATGTTATTTTTCTCAGAAATGGGAAGCAAACATATGTAAAAATAGGTACCAGAATAGAAATAACTCTCGTTGAAGCACCGGAAGCGGTAACAAGAAAGTTAATGCTAGAGTTCAAGAACGAGGATGATGTACATGAAACCGAACTTAATAGCAGCAGTATTCAAAGGTGGGTTCAAAATTCGACATTCCAAAGTTCAGGCCTTTTCTTCGTGGCAAAAATAGCATGAATTGCGGAGGCAGAATGGAATCCCGCCTGGCGTAGCGAAAGAAGATCGCACCTGCTCCATCTTGAAGGCGAGCAAGAACCGTTCTATACATATCTACTGCCGTTTATTAGTATCATAACGGTTCCAAGAGAATACTGTAGAGATAAACCAGCTCAGAAACACTGAAGCTCCGATGGGTCCTTATAAAGGTCTGTACTTGAAATGAGATCAGATCGTGTATGAGAAATCAGCCCAGAGAACATAGATCGTCATCAATTTACCACATTTGAAAGAGCAAATTTAGAAGATACAAACAGAGTCGAGTCAGTATGAGCAGGCTCACAATAAAGACCACAAAAATATTCGTTTTTGCACCGGACAAAATTGAACTGTTTAATTGTTCCGAGTGAAGGAGTGAACGGTGAAATGAAAGGTGGCTGTGAAAATTGGCAGAAAACGAGGAATAAAACTGAAGTGCGAGCAGTTAATGGAGAGGAGTGTTTCCCATACGGCTAATAATAAACACAAGCAGCGTTCTCTTCTCGTAGTATGAATCGGCGAAAAAATATAACGTAAAGCAGTGAAGCATTTCATACAATACACTTACCGAATACACGTCGACTGCAAGAAAGGTGCAAGCAGTCAGTAGCAATAGAGGCCTGTAAAATCGTAAAATTACCTGGATTCGCAGTAATAAACCAATCTAATCTTGCATCGAGTTAAGTACTCAGAAGTTAGGTAATGTGCAAGCTACTAATTCCTTTAAGCGGCTGGAGCATAAACTGCTTTGGCACTCAGAAATTCCTTTGTACCCTAGCCGTTAAGTGAAACAAAAGGTCAAGTGTAAGTTAGTGTAGTAGGTAATAAGTGTTAGACAAGCTTACCATAATGGCACTCTTTGCCTCATGGTGTAGGCACAGAACGGATGCCTGCTAGCAGGAGTAGAGAATGCCAACAGCTTTCTATAGGAGGGCGGAGTAAGAAGAGCTCCGCCAGACACCGCGTGAAATAATACGCTTTCCGGAGAGGATCAGAACTCATTGGCAAGGAAGCTGTAGAGAGTGTGGCATAGGTGTAATCGCAGGCACAATTTCGATCAAACTCACATGGTGTAAAGCAACAGTTAGCCAGCTCCCTATCAGAGCATTCACAAGTAACCTATGGAAAACCCAACAAATGTTGTCTAGTACACCAATTCTACTCTTACACCAGATTTTGGCATCATCTAATTCTTAATATCAGTTGATGATCCTCGAACCGTTGGGTAAGCTTTCACGCAAAGTCCAAAACTCAAGGGAGATTTTGGAAATTGCCAGATGTCCTTAAAGAAGCGCAAGGAACGTGCAAAAGTGTGCAGAATAGCCTATACTTACTATGGTAGATTACCTGATGGAAGAAGCTCAAAATCATGGGAAGCTGCTCCTGGGGAACAAAAGTCTAATGCCAGCTGCCCTTTCCCAGTCTTCACAAGCTTCTTAAGCGAGAAAGGTTCTCCAAGACTTCAAGGCCCTTCATTTTTCGTTAAAAAGGAGCTCTGCAGTTTTGCACGGGTTTAATCAGAGATTGTATATTAAATGATGGATGGTAGTAATGCAGGTTATTCAGCCTCATGTTTCGTTATTCAACTACGAATAGATGAATCACCGACGAGCTCATCCTTTAAGAGTTCTGACGGGACACATATGTGCCGCAAGTGGTGTAATGGCTGTGTAAGTAGTAATAGTGTTTGCACATTGTACTATTATATATCACTTGAGAAACGAGTAAGCGGAATATTATGACCGATTGGGACATCATCAGGATACTAGCCGAAGCAATTCGATGTAAGATTCAGAGTTTGACCACGTATCGCTCGCCCAGTCCTTAAAATTCTGAAACATGATCTAAATGTGGTGTTGAAAACAGAGTTAGGCCTTCGTTGACGAATAGGGACTACATTTGGCCCGTTCAGAGGCAGCATGGCAGGAGGAAATCAAAAATCACTGTGTAGTATGAATAGCTTTCAAGTGCCTCCACCCTTTTGATGAAAGCTAAATCTGTGGCGCTTCCTGGACGAAGTAATTAGCGCCAGATGTTTCAACACGGCTTATTACAAACTGTTTATTACATGTGTATGTTGGAGGTCGCCAGGGTCTCCTAATTTAGCGCACTGAAGTGTCGCGATTTCGAAAAATCGACCTTTCGAGGCTCAATTATACCCCTGCGGCAACTCTTACGAAGTGGGTTTTCAAGCCAGAGGAACCAATCTTCTTCATATGGTCACTTGCTTGCGAAAGATATGTTCGCATACCTGACCAATGAAAACTTCGTCATCAGAAACTCGAAGTTACGTTGAAAGGTTGAACAGTCGCTTCAATTCTGATACCTTTTAATCAGTTGTCAACCACTTCGTCAGTACCTGAGATAACTTCACTATCTGGCGCGAAAGTCGCCTGTTCACAATTACTCCAATTCCTCTGTGTGCTTCTTTTCAACTTTTCGAATCCACGTATGTCCGGTCTTTCCAAACAATCCTCACTTCCCAAAGTGTCGTGAACAAGTTGCACGTTTGTTCACCTCGGCCCGCACGCAGTCCCATTGCTGGCCTACCACGCACAATTCAGCTTCGTTACTGTAACAACTCATGCACGATTGGACTACTATTGCCTTTCGAACACTGGTAGCAACAAAGTGTGAATTTACGAATGTGTGAAACGCCAAAGAACGCAACATGCCCAATCACAATAGTCATCTTTCACCGCGCCGGCATACCACAAAAACGTAACAGCGGCGTCGGACTAACATTCATTTAGAAGTCCAGCTATACGAATGTGACGATCATGAGTTATGATAGGAATTGAATTAAGATTGACTTCTCCCTCAAAGCGCTATGATTTTTCAGGAATTCCTATAAATTTTGTACGTGTATGTGGGCAAAAAATAGGAGTATAGGTGATTTTTCCGCGACAGTGTCGCTATTGATTTTGATACAACCGGAAATTTTCCGGAACTCTTGCTCATCTTGAAATCAGAGTGGACGATTCAAATGTGCTGTATTAGGGCCATTACGGTCGCGACTACTACGAGAAGTTGGTGAGCTGGCGTAAGAAATGCCAGCTGCTCCTTTTCTCGTACCAAGTGGGTTGCCGTCCAATGCACGTTCGAACAAATGCATGCGCTCCCAGGGATCAGACATCCGGCAGAGTCTTTTACTAGTAGAAGCGCTGACTTTCACGCTGTGTATGGCTCAATGCCGGATAGGAGTCCTCAATGAGTTCGCGAACTCGAAGTGGACGTGAGCGCTCAGAAGGAAAGATGTGGTTCTGTTGATGGCTCACAATCTGGCAGACCTTTTCTTCTTCTTCTCCCTTGCCTTTTCCGAAGTCACAGGGTCCGCTGCTTTTGTCAGTCGTCGCCACTTTGCTCTGTCTAAGGCATTTTCTATCGTGGCAGTGGCCTCTCTTAGGTCCTTCTTGATTAAGTCTTTCCACCTTTTCTTTGGGGCTCCTCACAGTCGACAGGACGGCTAATGAAGACCCCAGTCACACCTACCATGTTCAAATTCACAATCTGGCAGGTTATTACAAATATATTTTCAGTTTATTGCAGCAAGGCATCTAAGCGGTGCAGAATAACTCTGGCGTATAAATCGCTGACAGTTCCTGCCCTCATCGGCGGAAGTTGAAATGGAAATGAGCGAAAAGTCATAAGTATTTCCGAGAATTCGGTATCTCACATAGGCCATACAAAAGTAAATGCATGAGTCTGAGCTGACAATCTCACACAAGGACTAATGGACAGGCTACACATTGCCCGTACGGGGGCACACAGCTGGCACAGTTGTTTAGCGCTGCCTTGACGGGTGAGGTCACTACTGAGGGAACGCTGCAAGTCGACGTGTACGAACATCAATGGAAGAACGCTGACCTTTCCATAAGCTATGAACATAGAAGGACTTTAATTAGAACCGTTAAGGAAGAGGGAATTTTGGTATTCAGTGGGGGATCTGATCATGCTTCTGACTAGGCCGTCTGCCATAAAGTGATGTTCAGCAGGAGACGTAGCATTTGCTTATATTTGAAAAAAAAGCGTTAGCGGGAGGGGGGGGAGGAGAAAAATGCTTCCGATTTGTAGCCCGTGAGGCCTTTTAGAGAGATTTGAATATCTTTCCGCTCATTTTGAGAGCTTCAGATAACCACCTTCACATTTGGTCTGAGTTCCCTCTGAATAACTGATGCAGATGAAGTGAACCACAAGGAATTGACAATTTATACCTTGACGTCAGCATTTTGAACATCTTCATGCGATCATTTGGAACTCAAAAGCCTTTCGTCTTGGCTATACAATAGCAAGATCGCAAGCGTCCTGTATGAACTGCCTATAAAATTCGTATTTGGCACGAAACAGTTAAAAATGATACTTTTCAATTGTGCCGTACATTTCAGACGCGTCATTTGTGTTACGTCACTCATTCACTACGATTCCTTCGTGATATATGTGAAAAACGTTTGGGTGAACGTGCGGGTGGTAACATTTGAGGTGTTTTCGCTGAACTTCATCAACATCCGTCATTTTTAATTTGCCGTGGCACGTTCTAACACCTCATGAAAAAGCTTGCATCGTTCCAATAATGGCAACAAAGAAGTGCTTTTCCTCAAATGAACAGCTTTCAACTGCCGCCACTTCATTCTCAATAAATAGTAGTCTTGTACGAATGAAAGCATTACACTTGGCCTTCACATGCGTGAGCTTTCCTGAAAAAGATGTCATTGATCCGGCGCACACAGGCAACAGCCGCAATCTATTTGGGTATGAAAAATGAAGTCTGATCAGAGGTTCAGGCTCTACTGTCAGAACATGTTGCCACGTTCTCGATTTATGGGTCATGACTGAAGGCTTAGGCTTTCTTCGGGTAATATTGGAATCAAGCCAGCCTTCCGTAGGTAGGAGTCACACGAGGAGTGAGATATTCTTCTGTTCGGCTGTAAGGCCGATGTCAGATTTTGCGAATCGCGCGATTCGCTAGCGTCTGAGGTCGCGTCGCCGCCAGTGAATCACTCAAATGGCTGGTACCGTAACGCGACCGCGGACGCTAGTTAATCGCGCGAATCGCTAGTAGCGAACCGCGCGATTTGCAAAGTCTGCATCGGCTTAAGATTTGCCTTCAACTCCCAAAACGACTTCAACAAGATCACTTTGGAATCTCCCAGTCTTCGTGAGCTGATCTCGTTCATAGGCTACGGTACTTTTACCTACATATGATTATGAGGTAGAGTAATTTTGAAGGTCTAACTATGCAGTAAGAGTAAGATTTCGTCGGAAAGTCCTGAGTCGCCTCCCAACCCCTTCGAGCTCCCAAGTAGGCGAATCCGCCGAAACATTAGGCAGGCAAGCTGCAAGCTCACTTCTGAACACTTTATGATTCTGCTAGTGCTGAATTTCAGCTCATTTGTTCTCCAAGCTCGAGTGATGTTTCGGTCAAATGGGCAAAAAAAACCCTGCGGATATTTTCCATGGCGGCTACATAATTAGCTACCACAACAGTGAATACAGTGAATAATGTTCTGCCTAGTTCTGATTGAATGCGATGTTGTGATACTCTTTTATCTAGCAATAGCTGTGCCGATGCAAGCGAACAGTTGCCTCCAATGACTGAACTCTTGATCCCAGTAATTTGCGGCATGTTTGAAGGTAGGGGCCGATGTGTAAGAGAGACGGCAAAAATATGCGCCATTCGATTGACAACGGATATCAGATCAATAGCCATGATATTTACGAAAATTTACGAGCATGCTCACCTTATTATTCAGTTCTTCAGCATGTGTTCAGTTGACGGCCAGCCTGTGTTGGCTGGTCTCGAAAAAGAAGTCTTTTTGGCACAGTCAGTCCTCAATTTCTGACTCACAATACTCCTCAAAAATGCTGGGAGCCAAACGCTGTGCAGAGGGCTCTGGAGTGCGTGGGTAGGACTGTGACGACCTGGACTTAGACTGCATTTCAAATTTATGCCGTTATTTCAACTGGTTTCAAGCATTGCTGTAGCACCGGATGAGTCATTTTAAACGATCTTCAATGATCGGCCACTCCTGGCACCTGTTTCTCTGCAGATCTTGAAATAAACTCTGCGAATTCTCAAATTGCCCCGCCTCTCCGACTTCCCCTGAAAATTGAAGGTATTGTGCAAGCCATGAGCTTTTGACGTACACTTGCTAATTTTCTGGTGCTTGTTTTTTGTTTTTAAGGCCCTGCTATATCCTCTTTCCAAACACCTCGGAAATCATTAAGACCCTAAGTGCATAAACAATGATTGCATACGATTCATATCCCACGCAAGACCTCCTGTGAGCATTTACCGCGCCAATGCTTTGGCGGAAAGGTAGATCCGCTCAAGTGTTGGAGGGTTAAAAGCTCAATGAGGCTGCCAGCTACACTCAATGACCCAGCGACATAAAGCAACTGAGACATGTGTGCAGCCTGGATGGAATGATGGAAGGCCAACAGATGCGCTGGCGGTCGCTAGCACTTCCCTGGGTCAAGTTTAACAGGCGTCTGCCACAAATCTAAACAAAATAACGCGCTGCACATCAATGTGAGAGCGTCGAAGCTGTTACGTGTGAACCGGGACTCGACAACACAGGGAGACGTTTACACGTGAAAACAACACTTTAAATATAGCAACTAGTGGTATAGTGTTCATCGAATAGTTTTTGCCGTTCCTCGGGTATTTGGGCAATGGACCTGGTTCCATATTTTATCTAGTAGCTCAGAAAAACTCTCGATTTTGAACAACGTTGGTGATCCTTATCTACAGGGGGAGGGGCAATAAAAAAAGACATTCTGTCTCCAGTCTTAAATGGATTTAATCACACTTTGCTAAGCTCGAAGCGTGTGCTCCTGATTGGAAATTGAAGAGCGCATTTCATTTCATGAGAAAATCTTCATAGTGACCATCTACATGGACGGCATCAGAAAGGTTTGCCCTGGAAACATGGTGCTCTGGTCGAGCTCAATGGGGTTCTCGACTGATCGTGTATCCTTTCGACGGGTTCCGAAAGGCGGGTTCCGAGGGGGTTTGCATAGTTAGAGCTAATGTCCCTAGGAAACCATCCCACGTTAAATCGATCAAAGAAATCGTGTAAGAGCTGCAGGCTGATCAGTTACTGTAGGCCTCATTGAGCTCGACGACGGTGACAGATGACGTCATATTCTGAAGACGGTGAGGGCAGTGAAGAAGGGCCTGCTTGTACTAGAGGGACATTCAGAGAATATTTTGCTGAGGAAGTCCCGTCAACGATGGCAATCTTTGCGAAGAAAAAAAGGCCGAAGTACGACCTAGGCGAACTGTCTTTTTTTTGGTCCCCTCCCCTGTATACTTCACAATGAAGCCCAATCTTTCCAAGCTGTACAAGAAATGTTGACGTATCTCAGCTACACTTCAAAGGAATGGATAGGTACTTGGATCAAATTATGGGCCATTACCACTGGACTGTATGAGGATCGTTTCCCGCTATCCACAGCCTTCAAAGCCATGAAGCCGCAACTCAAACCATCACTGTGAAATAATGTTCAGCGCCTTTCTTATATTGTTTTAATTCCATC